TAAATATATTATGATAAGAATAATATTATATATTTATATTTATTATTATATTCAAATCATTTAATTTAATTATTTGATATTGATGATTTGATATTGATTATTTGATATTGATTATTTTAATTATCTAAAATATTTATTCAATAATTAGATTAATAGATGTATTAAAATATATATTAATTATATTTCAAAAATTGAGTTCTTTATAATCTAATTAGAGCTTTTTTTTAATTCATATTAATTAAATTTCGAATAATTTACTATTAATTAAACTTTTTTTTATTTATATTTGAGATTATATTAATTTTAATTAAGAATATAAAAAAATTGGTTTATGAAAATATATTTTTGAATATGAAGATTTGTATATTTTGAAAAGTAAATGAGGTATTAAATAAATATTGATATATCAAAATTTTTTAATTATATGTAAAAACAGTATTTATTAAATAAATTTTTTTCATTTATTATTTTAGTAAAAGATTAATATTTAGATTTAATATAATAAATATTAGAAAGAAGAGAATTTTGATAAAAAAGTATTTTTAATTGATATTATAATAAATATAGAAAAATAGATTATAACATAAGAATCTATCAAAATAATACAATAGATTTTAGATTATTAGATTCTTTATAGTTTTAATTAATTGATTTGATTATTATTGTTGGTTTGAGAAGGATACGAAAGACGTAGTACTTATATATTGTAGGTTCTGTATGTCTAATTGTATCTTATCTGAAGAGTTAGTTAAATGGAAAAATAGTAGGCCTTACATAGGTACTATTGAAAGAGCTAGTCTCTTTCGCATTCGCCTAATCCCTTTGATATAGTAGCTATTGTATTGAAGTCATTCCTTTGGAGTGAATACCCTTGTTCACACAATTATTGAATAATATAGTTTTGAAAGTATTAAATGAGATGAAAGTGATTTATTTGATAATGTAATCCACTCGATGGTAAACCATGTTAGTAAAAAAAGACTTTCATAAAATTATATTTAAAATTATATTTAAAATAATATCTAATAGATAATATAATATGAAATATATTCTGGAGCTTTTATATTATTAAAATAATTTTGATTGTTACAAATAAATGTACATTTTATTTGTAACAATCATTTTTTCATATTAAGTATTATATATTTTATAGTATCAATAAAAAAAGTAGAAAAAATTGTATTTTATTTAATACTAGTTTCATACCCCTGTAATTTGATTTATAATATCATTTCAGGGCTTAATATATATCATTTAAGTTCTTCAAATATCATAAATTATATGTTTATAAGACTATATTCATATGGTGATTTCGAATTCATAAGATTTATTATATTTCGAATAGAGCCCTAATATAATGAATGATAATGATGTATAAATTCTGATTAGTAATCAATTTTTTTTCAATTTTATAAATATAATTTTCAATTTTTTTATATAGTAATCATCTTTTTGTTGAGGTCCGCTTTTAAATATTACTAATTATTCTTCAATTTAAGACTATAGATTCTTTTTTATTATTATTTAGGCTTGAATTATAAACCTAATAGGGTATGGCTATAAGGGCTGGAGCCTATCATTTCAGGGCCTACAGGGGCTAGCTGCAGGGGTTAATTAGTCGTACTTTGACGGTGCTTCCACCGTACCAGGAGTGCGCGTACCGTGCCCAATCAGGAGTACAGCTCAACCGTATCCCGATTGAGTACCGTACAGAATTCCCACTTGTCCCCTTAAGGTACTTAGGTATCTTATCTAATTCCTATTAGGGCCCATTTACTTGTATAGTACTAGGCATTAAGTTTGCGCGAAAGGCCTTTTTCCACCAAAACTCATCTTATTCAAAATAATATCAAAAATCTATCCTTCATTTAGATTGTAACAAAACTAGAAATTCTATAAAAACTTATTATAATAATAATAAAAATTTGATGAATTATTTTTGTTGATTTTTGTTTCGATTGAAAAAGACCTTGAATTTGAAATCTCTGAAAAAGTTGTAAAATTCGCTTAATTTTGGTATAGAAATTGATTTCAAAAAAATATTCTATTTCCAATTTATATATAATATTAATTAAAGAACTTAAAATCATAAGATTATAATAATAAGAAATTTAATTGATTTTAATTCTATAGATATAAGATTTATTATAAAGTATTTAGTATATAAAGATTAGTATTCAATTGAAATCAGAATATTAATATCTTCATTTTGTAATATCATTAGGAATAATTTTATTAAGACATTTTTTGATATTATGAATTCTTTTATATTATATAATTGGATTAAATATCTATACAATTTTAGATTCAAAAGAGAGATATAGAATTGATGATTTTTTATTATTTATCAAAGTTATTGAGTTTATTCGAATAACGGATTTCACGCGAACTTTATTAAGGTTACTATACTGTGATATATATACAGATTGATATTAATAGTTATAAATCAAATAAACGAACCAAGAACCGTCTTTATTGAAATTAAAGAATTAAAATGCTTACTAATAGGTATGATATGAATCCAGTATACTTCTATCTCGGGTTCTAAGAGGAGTAATATGAGATTTGTATCTATAATATATATGAGCTTAGCATAGCAGTCTATTTCCACTTGGAGTCACTATATATATATTTCATTATGTATCCATCTTGAAAAAAAAACTAGTTTTATTTTGTAGATCTCATTACTGATCGCTTTATGCAAATAGAAGAGGATGATAAAAACGCAAAATTATTGTAAGAGTTGTAGCCATAGCTCGTCGCACCCCTTAGTAATTCGTCACAAAATCCCCGCAAAAATAATGTTTTATCATATAAAATTAAATATCGAATAACTTTTTCAATTGTTATATTATAGTATTGAACTTTAAATCTGATATAATTTGATAAAATTTAAGAAAAATGAGTGAAATGATTTGAATAATTCTTGTTATTGAGATGCAAGACCTTAAAATTGAAACTTTCATATAATTCTGATATATAATGCTTTTACTATACAAAATAATTGATTTTTCTTGAAAATCTTGAAAATTTCAATTTTAAGGTCCTGCATCTCAATAACAGAAATTATTCAAAATATTTCACTCATCTTTTCTGATTATCTAAATGATTTTTAATTATCTCCCAAAGCAATTATATATTTTTTTTCCATATTCTATTAGATTCTCAGGGGTTCTAAAAGTTGAATAAATGATAATTTTTGGTGTATTTTCGCTAAGGGTGCGACGAGCTATGGCCACAACTCTTACTATAATATTATCCTTGAATAAATGTAATGTGTAATAGCTTCAAGTCTAACATATTATTACAAAAAAGTAAGAATTCACTGTATTCTGTTTACTTATCAGTACTATCCTAAACATTATGATTATCATAATCTAAAGTTAATATGACATATTATAATGAAATCTTTAATCAAACATCAATCACCTAAAAGCAGTTCGAAACCGTATTTTAATTCTTATAGTTTTGTGATAAATGAAACCAGCAATTGAGGAAAGAGAACATTCAGACTATCTAGATATGAGTTCACGAACTACTTCATTTCTCATTGATTATGCTGTAATCAGTTGAAAATTTCTGGAATTCCCAATCTTTGAATTTTTTTCCTCAAACCTAATTCTAGTAATATATGATTTATCTAGGTATTGGTAAATCACTCTACTATCACTAAAAGTAAATTTGTTTACTCTCAAACTCTCAAACTAATTTAAATTCGCTTTAATATCATTTGGATTCTATAATAGCTAGATTCTATAGTTTTTAAACTAGAATCTATAATTTTCGAAACTGAAATTCATAAAATATAAAAGCTAGAATCTACATTATAAAGCTAGGTAGTGTTTATATCAAAAAACTGGAATTTATACTTAGAAGTGAAATGTAGATCTAGTAGATAAGATTCGATAACTGAAAGCTAGATTCTAACTCTTAACCCCAGATTCTATACTCTTGCCTCTAGCTTTTAATTTCTATCACTAGATTCTAACTTTTAATTTTAAATTCTACATATAAATCCTAGTCATAGAAAATTAACATCTAAATGGTATGAGAGTAAAATTAGAACAATTTTACGGTGGGAGAGTAATATTTTAAACTTTTAGTGACATCGTCGAGAGTAATTTACGTATATATTAATGTATACCATCTTTCTGATTATGATACTAGTCATATCTCTGTTATGATATAACATATAGAAATCTAACTACTCAAGCGACCAATCCTCGCTACGCTCGAGCGTTAACTCCTATATTATCAAGATTATTGGAAATCCTTATCTTGTTCTTAGGTATTGACAATTTTAGACTATTATTAATCGAAATTATAATTGAAATATACTTTCTCAAAAACACAAGAACTTTGAGTAGTCGTGAGCTATTAATAATTGATATCAATCTCATTTAAGGTAAACCGTCATACAATGAAATTTAGTAAAGGTTTCATATAAATATTACTTTAATTAATTCCAATTATCTTCGATATTTTAGAGAATTTTTACTTATAATTTTGTTTTAATTTCAAACATAATAGAGATAGCAGCTGCTTGTAAGAGATAAAAGGTCCCATTAAGATATACACTAATTTCTATTATAAGATTAAGATATTTTCAAAAAATATAGCAATCTTGCTGGTAGTCACAGTAGCAATATTTAAAAAATAAGTAGAAAGCGTAACCAAAAAAATCAAGCCCAAATCGTTCGAGAGTTTGTTTGCTTAGCCTTAATCTACCTTTTTCGCTATAACAACATCCTATTGTTCAGGGGCTCTCCGGATGGTTTTCACTTGTTGGCAGGGCGAGATAAGTGAGCAAGACTCAAGCGAACGTCACCGGGGTTATTAACTAAGTGGATCCACAGATTTAGCCTTCGTCCTTTCACACTGTAAGGGGCGGCAAAGATAATGATTATATAACAAAAGCTCTTCTCTCCATTTGAACGTAGATTTCAATGGGCTGGCAATTCTCATGGTCTTCTACATTCCTCAATATCTTTCCAAGACTCTTAAGAACCTCGAGCGGGGCTCTATGAAAACCTGTCAGTCATCAATCGATTCCAGCTTGTATGCAGACTGCCGTGACGATTCGAGATACTCACGATTATGATTCGGACATATTTGAACTGCAAGTCACCGGATTCAGTGTTTACTATCTCGTATCGTGCTGCCCACTCTTGCATATTGATTACATCATTAGATAATTTATATCCAACGGTCCCATAACACATAAGGTTCATATCATCTGATCCAAAGGTGAAGATCCTAACGACTGGATGTTCACGATGTGGAACATTGGCAAAAAGCTTTCTGCGAAAAGACACGATTGCTACATAACTGGATCAGTTAATAAACAAAATGGTTTAGGATAAATAACACACCTTCGCGCCCCACGTTTTGCTCTTCTGCAAATTCATATACACCGTCATCCAAAAACAGCTTCGCGAACTCTTGTTCATCTTCAAATTGGTTTAGTAAATACTTGATATATAAAAAGAATAACATACTTGCTTCATGATCATTGTGTGAAGATGCGGCATTGGAGAGCTGGAAATACTTCTCTAGAAATACCTTGACCCCTGAGGAGACATTGTCTGGGAAAGCGCCTGGGGTGATAGCCATTTTTCACGCTTTTTATTTTTCCAATATTAAGGGAAATAACCTCGAAAGCTGGCTGGGATGACGAGACAAAAAGTTGAGAGTCACGCCGGTGGTATTTATGTAGCCTCTTACATCCTCATTTTCCGTCAACACCGCGTTTCCGTTGCAAGTTAGCATGTCATATTCTTGCCGGGGAACCTGTGCACGATGTTAACAGGTTCCAATATTTGTACAAAAGGAGAATGAGGACAAGGAGAACAAGGAGGAGGAGTCTCTTGGCATTGGTAACGATATCGTCGAAGGAATAGCTGAATACTGCATGCATACAATCGTCTGCAGCTGTCAGAATTCAGACAAAATTTCGGACTGTCTTCCTCCGAACATCCGTATTAGGACAAGATATCAATAGTTTCTTTTCGATCGATTGACATGATATCTAATTGTTAGATGAACTTTCAAGTACTAACGTATACTCAATAATATCGAATTAATAAATCGGATGGTTTGTAATTAATAATATAAGCTTTTTCTCAATAACTAAAAATAATAACGGACTTACTAATGCTCTCTATAATAATATTGAATATACCTTAAAACCTATATCTTTAGTATCATGTATTAAGTTAATACAAAAGGCTGTTTTATACTAGAACTCACTTTATTCAATATCTAACGTTAAACAAATCATTAATTCTTAATGATATCAAAGTTTCAGATCGAATGATGATTTTTGTATAAACAAGAGTATTCACTTTAAAGGGATGACTTCAATATAATGACTACTATATCAAAGAGATTAAACAATTGCAAAAAAAAACTAGTTCTTTTAATAATATTTATATAAAACTTATTACTTTCTTATATAACTAGTTTTTTAAATAAAATATAATTAGATATATAGAATTTATAATATATAGGTATTATATTTCCTATATTCTTTTCGAATTTATATTAATTAGTGATATTACAAATTATTTAAGTAATTATTCAAAAAAAAAAATCATTATTCTTTTATTTTCATTATTGATGTTATAATATCTTAAATAAATTTATTTAATATTAGTTTTAAATAATAACTATAAGTTTTATAAAGGAAAAATAGTATTTATTTTTATTTTTATTATAATAAACTTGTATTTTTGGAAATTGAAGCTTTTTAGAAACAAAAAGAAGGATTCAAAAGATATAAAATTCAAAAAGAAATTCTAGAATTATTTCTTTTTAAAAAACCTTTTTATAATTAAATTTTTTTATAAAGAATTTATATTTCGATTTACAATTAAATATTATATTAATAATCATTTTTAACTCAGAATCATTATATATTTAAAAACAAGAATTATTGATATACTTTTTTAGAAAATAATTATATAAAATTTCGAAATTATTTAATAATTCCGAGTCAAGAATATTAATAAACTAATATTCTATAATATTGAGAGAATTTTATAATATTATGGGATAAAGATTGATTTTAATATAAATATTCTTATATAGAGAATATTATAATTAAAACAAAAACTAATTTCCAAAATATTAAATTAATAAGATATAACTATTTATATCCACAACATAAATCAATCTTTTTATTAGATTTGATATAAAATCTCAAATCAAACTTTCCATCAATTTTTTTAATAAATCTTTAAATGATAATCTAGTTGATTATTTAATTTAATTAAAATTTAATTGTCACGGCGCCAAGTATATGATCTGTAGTTGCCTTCGTGCCTCGCGCATAGACCACTAGCGTGCCCTACTTCTTATAAGTAGGGCCTCACTCTTCCATATCTTCTACCCTTATAGTACAATATAAGTCTTTACTCGTACCCTGACATTAATAAAGTTATAAATAATCTAATTGTTCTTTTCAATATATATATAAAATTATTCTTATCTTATAACTTTAAAAATATATACATTTTATATATAACTTTAGCAAAATTTAAAATTTCATTAATAAATATTTCTATAGAATTATCTAATAATAATAATAATTTAAATAATTCTAACCAAAAAAATAATTAAAGAGATAATAAAAATAATAATAATAGAAATAATAGAAATTATAATTATTCCAATGATTATAAGAATAATCAAAGAACTAGTTAACACAATTAAAGCTAAAACTTTATTAATTTTTCAAAAATCTATGAAGATAATAATAAATATAAAAATATTAATAATTCTTTTAATTTTAAGATTGCGATATTTAGAAAATATTATTATAGAATGCTTATATTAATTTGAAATAATTATAACAAACTTTCTAATTTTTTTTCAATATAATTAATGAATATTATTAAAGAAATCTAAAAAAATTTAATTTATATCAAAATTTATATAAAATAATAATCAATAATTTTGAGGAATTTAAATATCAATAAAATATATTCTTTAAATAAAATAATATTAATTTCAAAGTTTATATCAAAAAGAATCCAAATATAAATCTTTAGAAAATATTTAATATAATAATTATAGATTTACATTTTCTTTAATATATTATTTCTATAATTATATATAATTTTCAATTATATTATATCAAGATTTTGTTTATATACAGAAATATTCCAGAATATTATTTTATGATATACAATTTTCATTTAAATATTTTAAATCTTATTAATTAGATTAAATAAATTATTGCTTTCTATTAAAAAGTATTTTTAAAATAAAGTATACTAACTGAAATATTTCTTACAAATCAATATTTCTATAATAATAAATTTTTAAAATCTTAAAATTTCTTTTTTCAAAAATCTTATAATACATAGCTAATAAATAACCCGTTTTTATATTATTTAATAAAAACAAGAATAACTAATATTTTTTTAATTACAAGTATATATAAAAGAAAAAAAACCAATTCAAAATAAATTATTATATTAAATATAATAATCTTAATAACAAAAACTTTATAAAATAATATATTTAATTTCTTATTAATATTAAATAAAAAAACAATTGAAATAATAACAATTATTATTATTATTTCATTAATATAAATAATTTCAAAAAGACATCTAGAATATTCTTTATATTAATAAATATTTATAATAGTTTTTTAATAATAGCTAATCTCAATAATATTATAAATATTTATATATTAATAATGAAAATATTTATTATAAATAATGAATAATATAATAATAATAAATTCTTTAATATTATAATTAATATAATTATAACTAAAAAACCGATTATTAAATATAATAAAACTATTATTAGTTAAGTAATAATCTAATACAATATTAAAACAATTACTTTAATCAATTTATTCTATACAAAACTTCTATTCGAAAATATAAAATGAAATATAATAAAGATTAATATTCCATTTTTATTTTGTTTAATAGATATAAATAAACTCAAATTCAAGTATAATAATTTTAATAATAATATTATTATACTTAAAAATATTTATTTTATATATTAATAATTCAATTATATATTTTATTATAGAATATCAATATTTAAGATTTAATTAATTATTTCATTAATAATAGAGAATACTATTTTATTGAAATCGAGTTATAATAAATTCATTATTAATTCGATTATTTATTTATTTATAATTTTATAAAATATTTAAATATCTTAAATATAATAAAGACTTTGAGATAATCAGATAATTTACTAAGTTTTATTATTATTATTAAATTTATAATAAATTATTTAATAAATTTTGAAAAAATTTATTTGATAAGGATTTTGAATTTGATTATATAATATTTGTTAACATATTTTATATATTATTAATAAAATAATATATTTTCGGACTATTTAATGATTAAACAATATATTTACAAAATATATATAGAACAAGCTTTATAAATATTAAATCAATATATATATTAGATTATTAAAATATATCATTTATAATATTAAAAAAGAATTGCAATAGTATATTATATCAATATCTATTCAAACAAAAACAATTCTTATAAAAATATATTATTTTATTAGTATTATTAAGAAATTTCACATATTATTATAAAAGTCTTATAAAATTATTTATAATGAAATTCATAATTTAAATATTAATAACACAATTATACTTCAAATAATTATAAAAGCTATTAATAATATTATTAAATCTAATAATTTAATATCTATATTATTTGTTTTTGATATATTTCCTTATATTATTAAAAACAATCCTTTAATATCTATTATTCAATAATAAACTACTATAATCTGTAAAATTATAATAAAAGTTTATAAACTCTATAGCTTTATATATATATAAAAAGCTCCGAATATATATAATAGCTTTTTTATAATTATATTTTATAATTTGCTATCGAATAATACTATCCTGATTTAAAAAAAGAATAATAAAATAATTTTTAGTAAATAAAAAGGACTATTTTTATTATTTAGTATAAATAATAAGATATATATATTTAATCTATTTTATAAATCTATAAGATTTAGATTTATATTAATGAAGTTTTATTATCAAATTAATCAAATTAATCAAATTGATTAAATTAACTAAATCAACTATATTCCAGATTACCTTAATGAATATAAAATAACTTACTAAAATCTAGCAAAATTAGATTACTTGTTTTTGATATATTTATTATATATATTATAAACTCTAAAAAACCTATTTTGAATTTATTCAAAAATAACTAAATACTTATATCAATATTTTTCCTATAAATAATTATATTTCAGATTCGAATTTATATATAAAATCAATACCCTAATTACTTTATTATTAATTTCAAAAATCTAATTCTATATAAAAAATTTAGGAAAAAAAAAATTAATAAATTAATAATTAAAAGTATATTCGGAATTATATTCTTATTAAATATTTCTTTAAAACATATATTTTTAAATTATAATTTATCAATAAAATCAAAAACAAAGATATAAATACTGAATTTTATAAATCAAAATTCATTATTCAAATATATAATAATATTAATAAAATAATTGTTTTAATATAATCGTTAATAATTCAATAATTATATTAATATATTTCAATTTTATTAATTATAAAT